CTCTCTCTCTCTCTCTCTCTCTCTCTCTCTCTCTGTCTGTCTTTGTCCCTCCCTCCCTCCCTCCGTCCCTCCGTCCCTCCCCTCCCCCCCCTCTCAGGCACACATATATACACATAAAACTAAATGTACTTTTAAAAACCACAGGAAGTTGTTAACTTTTGGAGGTGATTCCTGGGCTATCTAGAAGAAGGAGGAGTTGGAGAAGGACATCCCAAGTACACAAGACAAAGAAACACAGGCAGGCAGACCTGAAACGTTACTAATGCTGTTAGCACACAGGGATGGGGGTGTGGGGTGCAGATGACTGCTCAGGAAGACGTTCAGAGCACGCTGACCTCGTTCAAGCCACAAGTTACCCTGTGGAAATAAAAGGATAACTTTCATAGAACACTGTGGCCCCAGTACAAAGATGGAGTTCCTGATCCTACACAGAAGTCAGTGTGGGGTCTTTAGATCCTTCCAGGGCAGAGCAACCCAAGTTTGCTCACCTCAGGGAAAGCATCAATAGCTTCAGCATAGATAAGGGAGGGAGTCGAAGCCATACCATAAGAGAAGAAACTGTAGGCGGACACAGGGTACGAGCCTGAACTTGGGAGGAGCTGGGATGACAGCGCAAGAGAGGAGAAGCTGATGGAGAAAACCCAGAGGTCAAGAACTGCTGCTTCTTAGGGTCAGAGAGAAATGTGCTGGCTAACTGTGATGGGTCTGGAAAGACCAGTAGGAAGTAGCATAACAAAGCTTAAAGGAGGCACTCTCCTGGGCCACTTCCCATAATCCTCTGGGATACCAGCTCTCTTAGTTTTCCCAGTTCTTCCTCATTTATTTGACTTTCACTAAGTATGGAGTCCTCTTTTAACTTCATCCCAAAATCTCTTTCTGTTTTTGACCCCAAACCTTGCTAGATCCTTCAACACTGTATTCTAGGAAGCTTCAGGTTTTCCCTTGATTCATTTTCTGAAAAGTGTTTCTGATCCATAGCGCGAGTGCATCCCAGTGAAACACCATCACCCTAGGACAATGTATGGATATGTTATATGTGTTTCCTCCAGCGAAGACCTGAAGACTCTAAAGATGAGGGTCAGTTAATCAACTTATTGGTTTTAAAAACTACATTATCTGATCTGAATTTTTAAAAACTTCTATTTGAAAGTAAGCAAACACTACGGTCAGTGCCACACACTACCTATAACTCCTGCCATGGGCCACTCCTGTTGATAACTGAGTTAGTTAGCCATGGCAGTAATGCAGCCAAAAGCCTTTCCTATTGGAAGCCACGCTACACCAGAAGACATCAGTGACCTAGTCAGCAAGCACACTGAGCCTGAGAACACACCTTATGGTATCCTTCCAGACCACACTTCCCAGGCTATGGAGATAGTATTTTCTACTCAAAGTATAAGTGGCTTTTAGACATATAATTTTAGAATCTGCCTGACACTCAGGAAAAACTTTCTGTGTCCAGACATACATACTTACAAAAGCCCTGTTAGGGGCTTTTACCCCATTAATGAGATGTTACAATGGAAGTCACATACTGTAGCCATGTCTTCCAGAGGAACACTTCAAAGACAGTCCAAGGCACTAAATAGGTTGGGTCTCTTCTCTGTGACACTCCAGTTTGGTCTGTACTGAAGTTATGTACACTCTCTATTCTACCGGTTAACTCTGGGCAGTATGGAATGTATCTAACTAGATGCCCTCTTTGGATGAAGTAAGAAAAAAAATCTATCAAGTCTAACAAATTTTTAGAGCTACCCTGCAGAGACAAGGCTAGTCAGCTTATTAACTCTTCATATTCCAATGCAGGGTGTGTGTGGTTGACAGACCATCACCAGCCCACTCCAGGCCACCGTGACCTCACATTCATCCCGCAGTCAATCATCCTCTTCCCAAAGCCTCTGTTAACTTCACTCCACACAGCATCTTAGTGTAACGAGCACCGTATCATTCATTCCTAACTACACACGTGTCATTCACACACGGGCAGATGGCATGTGACAACGGGAGCTCCTAGACTTCTGTAGTACCACAGGTGTCCTTACAGCAGCACAGACCTTAGACTACATGTCTAAGGTCTAATTCCTGTCCTTGAATTGGTGACATGGGAGATGGTAAAACTGTGGCTGTATCTTACCAGTGAGCTCTCTGCATTTTCTACTGGGAGCCATATTGCACACGAGACACACATAGTGTTGGCAAGGTTTTCTTAGCTACAGGCACACATCCGCAAGCAGGGCTGACATGCACACTTGTTGTCCAGTGTATTCAAGCACAGTACTGAAGTGCTTGCCCAGAGTACTGCCCCAGGAGGGGAAACAGTACAAAGTACCTCTTCATGAGAAACTGTTTCAAAGTATTAATTTCTAAGTACTTCCTAATGTTTATAGTTCCCCACTGACTAAAAATTCTGCAAACCAACTGGCTATGTCCATTAGACACTCTGAAACAGAAAACACTGCCCAGAGACTCGGTAGCCACACCACCACCACCACAGATACTACCACACTTACTACTGTTTACTTGAACACCTCCAAAGAGATTCCCATGAAGCCCCCATAACCAACTCCTTCACAAACAAACACCCACCCTGACCTTTCTATCTGACCCAGATCCCACCAGGGAAAATCCCAGGACTTTATCATTACACTTACTTAGAGCAGGGTTAGACACGTTTGCTCCTGAAGCCACGTCCCCAAACCAAATGTCTCCACGCCGAGATTAGCAATCATTTTAACGCCTGGAACTTTACACAGCCACTCTCTGAAAAACACACTGACCCTTATCTGTATTTACAGCCTGGGAAACTGAGGGGATTTGCTCGGGTTTCTGGGGCCACAGGAACATGCTAAGTCATCCTTGCTGTACCTAATCTGCTGAGCCATGCTGATTTCATTAAAAAAGGAGTATTTCATGTCAACAGTATACAGCACCAAACAAGTCCCAGAAATAGGCCTTGCTAAAATCTATGAAACTGACTGTGGTCAAAGTTCTTATTGTAACTACATCAAAGTCACCAAACCTGAACATAAAACAGCAGGCCTGCCTGGTCAGTCACCAAGGGAGGAAAACTCCCGTCCTCCCAGCAGCGATGCAGACGTCACCCTCTTCAACAGATCGCTAAGACACATCTTCCTGTAGCTGTGAGCACACACGTTTAAGGTCATTACCTAACTGCCTACAGACCCTTTCGTTATTATCTCTGAGCTACAGAAGCAGCAAGAGAAGCTGCCAGGTGAACTCCGAGTCTCATTAGGAACAGACGCTAGCCTATCACCCAGCAGCCTTCTGGAGATAGCAAAGCACTCTGATAACCAGAGGTTGCCAGATGTTACAACAGCCACGTACAGAGTATGGCCAAGTTTACACATGAAAACAAAGTCACCGGCTCCTTCCAGTCCCTGGCTCCAGCACTGCTGCTGGTGGTGGCAGGCCGTGCTGACTCCGGAGCTAGGCTGCCTGGAGCTGATGACGAGAGTCCATCACCCGTGTGGCTGCAGACAAGCTGTGGAGACCCCCCAGCTTCACGTGCTTCTGTGTGGGAAGGAGTGACAGAGTGCCCCTAACTGCTGCCTCGGGGAACTCCCGGAGGAAGAATGGAGCAGTTGGCACCAGGGGCATCTAAGAGAAGCCAGGGCCCATTCCATCTACTACCCGACCACTACCTACTGTCACCGCACGCAGAGTGACCGTGGAAGTAAGAGTACTGGGCTGCACAGCTTAGCCCAATAGATTTCATCTGGCTACTCAGGGCCTGTGACTCTGCTGATTCTTACCAAGTAATGAGACCAAATACAAGATGTCTGACATCTATAATGCCATTCCTTGTTAACTGCACGACGTTCTGTCACCCTTGCACCTACCTGAAGGATGACATTGGTAAGTCTAAAAACGCACTTAGAAGAGATTTGATCTGTGAAGGATAAAATCTCTATCTATACATTTCTTGGAATCATTTATTAAGTTTCACGAGAACACACATGGCTAAATGAATGAAAGATACCCTTTCATAAAGGGTGCTTACTTGCCTTTATGAAACTTAGGCCTTAAATTATTAATGATGGTCATGAAAGACATCAGCTCACTGCGTTACTACAACAAGGGTTAAGTCATTTAGACCTGTTTTCAACAGGTAGAAATTGAAATTTTTCCTAATTTGACTCAAGCCTACGGACTAAGTAACAATGTCATGACTATCAACATAATAGAAGTATCTTCAAGAAAAGAAAGTCTTTCTATTGCAATAACGGTCTAAGTCAATCAGGAAACTTAGTATGTGGGAGTCGTTGCACTAAATGATTCTCTTCTGATAACCATCACTGAGATGTATATGGCAGGGACAGCTCTAATGCTAATCTCCTAAAAGATGGTCTCCAGTACTTCACAGCCCATTCTGCATAGCTTCCATGTCTCAAATCCATCTGTTTGCCAAATGCATCTGCAAGTCAACACTCAGAATGTCTGTAGTTATTTGTGGATACATGCAGAGGGTCCAAAGTAGGAGTCATCGGATGAGAGTACCTGGAGCTGAGGCAGACGGGGCGGGCCTCCGACCTCTGGTTCCAGCTCTGTAAACAAGCTCCTACATGGGGATCTACTCAATGCTAGATTTGTCATGGGTTTTGTGCTTCTGATGTTGCTATTTAAGAAGTCTCTCAAGACTAATACCGAAATGGTATTTGCTCCTAAGACACAGGAGGCTTTCGGGTACCTTGTGGAGAAAACACGCCCATTAGACAGTTTCATTCAGACATAAATCAGTGTGATAAATTCACTGGGAACCAGGCAAATAAACAAATATCTTAAAACAGATCATTGAAGAAGAAGGCCATGTACTGTCATTGCTCATTTGACAGAACATGTCTTCAGGATCACAAGTTCACAGGAACGAATCTGTGTTTCCTGGAGGAACTACTGTTCTATATCCACAAACTCAAGGTGACTTTGCAGAGAAACACTGAGAACAACAAAACCGACTACACTGTGTTTGAGGACAACTCCAGGGAAAGAATAGGCTAAGAAAAGAGAAACCAGGCCCAGGGCCCACGTAAATAATGCATGAACCAGCCAGAAAAACTTAAAAGCAGTCAATAATTAATCCTGAAACAGTGAATATATGTCTGAGGAAAAAGAAAAGGGGTTAGAAAAGGAAAATAGATGCCAACCTCGGAGCACAGGAAAAATCTCAACTCCAGACAAAACCCAAAGCAAGCCCCTCCCCCCAGAGGCAGACAAGCACTGCTCCTAAGGCCCCTCTCCCAGAGGCAGACGGGCACTCCTAAAGCCACTCCCCTAGAGGCAGCCGGGCACTCTGAAAGCCACTCCCTAGGAGGCTGGTAGGCACTTCTCCCAAATCGCCTTCCCACAAGTGCACAGGCACTCCTCCTAGGGACTGTTCTACGCTCTTGACTTTGAGACTTCACAATGAAACACCTCCAACATAGAAAGGAGTTGCCAGTGAAAGTAAAAGCTTTTGACCATCAAAAGACGTTAAAAACATAAAAGACACACCTAAAACTGGGAAAAGATTATGCAATATACATAAAATACAAAGAATTGTTTTTTTAAAAAAAAAATTAAAATCCAATGGGGAAAACGGATAAAAGATATGAACAAGTATTTAACAGGAGATTGCTCTCAACTGAATAATAAAATTATGGAAAAGATGCTCACCCTCGATAAGCCAGATAAAAATGAAAATCTCAGTGATCTTACAAACACGTAAGCAAATTAAAACCCTGACAGCTGAAGTACTGGGGGAAAGTTCTCCAACACTGTAGAGACCTCACGTGTGACTAGCATGACGGCACCTGGTGCAAACACCTTAGAGCACACTGCCTCTCTAGATAGCAAAACTGAAGACAAACACATCAAGTCTCCATGTTTGCCCAGGCTATCCTGGAATTTGTGATCATCCAGCCTCTACCTCCAGCATGCTGAGATGACAACCATACAGCCCCACATCCTGCCAGCAGCACGTAATATTTGATCCATCAATTCTAGCTCTCAAAGAAAGTTCTAGAGGAACTGGTATATGTGGACCAAGAGACAAGGGCAAGAATACCCATAAACAGTACTTTGAATCTGCAAATATCCTGGAGCAAATGAATCTATTACAACATACACGTAAGATGAAATGTTACACGGAATGGGAATTAACAACAGCTCATTAAGTAAGCTTCTTCATCAACATGGATACATTTTCAAAACAATGTCCAAGGCTTGGGGATTTAACTCTGGGTTCAGTCCCTAGAACTTGGGGGAGAAGTGATAGCGTGTGTGTGTGTGTGTGTGCACATACACATATGTATGTATATTTTGAAAAATGGAAAAATAATCATCATTTCAGGTCACATACCTAAGTGGTTAAAAAAACAAATCAAACCAAATCCTTGGGTTTAGGAAGATGGCTCAGTCAACAAGGCCCCTGGAGGATGGAGGCCTATGAGGAGAAAGGGCTCGGGGCAGTCAGAGTTCTCTGCAGTCCACTTGCCTTCTCTTCTCTCACATCATGAGGACAGCCCTCAGCACCACTTCCCAATCTACCTCAGCCTCCGTCTTCAATGCTCTCCTAGCTCAACAGTCTCGACCTTGTTCAGACCTCAGGGACAGTTTCCTCACTGCTATCTCCTAACGTCTTGTGGTCGAGTTCTTCGGAATGCTGATGGCTTCCTTTCTCACTTATACTAGAACCTAACCCCAGCGCTGCAGTCTCTAAGGCTGTGCTTGCTTAGGCTCCCTGAGCTGTGCTCCCTGCTTTCCTCCCTACCCCACTTCCTTCTACTCTTCCTTTTACTTCTAAAGCCTGCCAAGCCCGTTTCCCCATTTGCTGGTTCTTTGCCGAGTGCTTCCTCTCTGTATCCAAGTGCCTCCAATTTAAACACAGATGTCACCTTCTCAGAGGCTGCCTCTGACCACAGTGCCAAACAGACACAGGCATCACTGCCTCTACTCTTCCACTCTACAGGGCACTTCTTGTGACCCATCAGTCCTCACTGGGGAGGCTGTGCCACCCCGCGTCGTGTTACCCACAGCGGAGCCTGAACACACCAAGTACTGGATAGTTGAGTGGAAAACTGAACTGTACTTTGAGTAGACACAAGGCCGTATCTACTGACAGTGAAATGAAAATCCAGTGGACTGGGGAGGGACACAGTAGGACTGGGAAGAGGAATTAGGAAAATCACTGGGAAAGCACTATTCTAAGAACAATTTTAACACTATCTGCAATGGTACTTCTGGCCTCATTCCTAAAGATGGTTAGTGAACGGCTAATCGACGTTTCACATCCCAAGATCTTTAGTTCTGAAAATGTAACGTCTTAAATCTCCTGGGGTCTGTCTCTCTGTCTCTAGTGCGTGTCTTCTCCCTCCCTCCCCTTTCTTGAGTATGTATATGTGTATTATATATATAATTAGAAATAAAAAGAAACCTTTATTTTTAAAACGAGCATGCTTCATTTAGTTTGAGTTCATTCTGATCATTAAGTATTTGCACGTTACCTCTCTAGGCCTAGACCAACAGTATAAGGAAGCTATGCACTGCTGTTTCAGAGTTGTTGTGAACATTATGAAATAATGTTTGTTCAATGAAAGCATCTAGTTAAGTGGTTAGCATATAGAAAGGAATTAATAGTTGTTATTGAGAACACAGAGAGGGGAAATCACAGCTAAGAGGCCCCTAAGCTAACCCCAATCGCCAACGTCCTTACACACAACAGCTGGCAATGAAGCCAAGGTTAGCCCTGTGCCCACCAACAAGTCAGGTGAACACAAAGTTCAAACAGAAGGGTGGGAAAGCACTCTGAGAACATGGAGAGTGTGACTACCCTGGCTAACGAGTGAGTCGTACACAGTATGGCTGCAAAGAAACCATCAGAAACACAGCAGATGGGATGGGGGGAGCTGGTGCAGATGCAGAAGCGATGGACAGACAGGTCAGGAGGCTGAGTGGGGTG